GGTGCACAATGAACCAATGAACAGTTCAAGCGGCATGAGCTTGACCTGGCGCTGCAATGGGAAATCGTGATGGGTGGCCATGTGGAAGAACTTGTCCTTGAGATCCTCAGGGATATAGTAGTCCGCCAAGATCTCCAGCCTCAACTGTTTCATATAAACAATACAACACTGTAAACTGCATGCAAATCCCTGCCAGGCTGCATCACAGGGTCTCTGTCGATGGTAGGGGCTACTTCTTCATCGGGCTCCTCTTCTTCCTCCTCTTCCGACTCCTGGTCGATTTGCTCCTGCTCAGCCTTGTAGGGCTCCGACTTCTCAGGAAGACTCGGATTCCACGCTGTGAGGTCCGCCAGCGCACCGGCAGGTGCCAGTGGAACACTGTGCTCAAGTGTTGACATGAATTGAAGTTCCACAAGTTTTGGCTGCAGCCTCTCCCACACAGCATTCGCCAAACTCGACACCATGTTCTCAATTGAAGATCGAGCTGAACTGTTGCTCGGCAGTGCAGCACCACCACCTAGGAATGTCTGAAAGCATTCCCCAACAGCCATCTCACATGCCGTCATCATCGGAAGTGTTGGGTTTGCTGGCGCCGGCGGAGGAAAGGCAGGTTGAACTGGATGTGTTGCTGCCAGACGTGCATCCCTTGGATGTAACGGACGAGACTTGGGCGGATCTTTCGGTTCCGGCACACCCTCTGGAGAATCAACCTCAACCACTAGCGGCTTTGGCGGCTTTGCAGCCGGCTTTTTCGGCTTTGCAGGCATGGTTTTCGTAAGAGGTGCTGGCTTTGTTTTTGCCGTTGCCCCTACTTCTGCTGATGCCAATTTTTTTGCTGGCGGTCTTGCTTTTGGTGGTGCTCCTGCTTTTGGTCCTGCCCCTGGCTTGTCTGTTGATGCTGTTGCGCTGGCTTTTGTTTTTTTTGCTGGTGATGCTTTTGGATCATTGGTCCACTCTGGAGCGGGCACTGGTGGCCTGGCAAAAGCCGGAGTAGCAGAACTGGAGGATGCAGGATCACCACCCCCTCTTGTGGCGTCATCGACATCTGTCTCCGGGATCTCAAGCGGAGCAGTTCGTGCTCTTTTGGCATCTGGCAGCACCTCAAATGCTTTGCATTGAAGACGACACACACACACACACACTCAATTGAGGATGTCAATTGTGACTGAAATGTTATTATTTATTCTTGAAGCTGAAGCGAAAATGTAGTGTTGCTCCCAGCTGCTGCTGCTGCAGCAGTTCCTCTTGACTTCGTCTTCTGATTTCGCTTCTGAAGCTTCTGAAATGTCCTGGAAGGTAGGTCCACGGGATGTTCCTGCTTGTCCTTGACCATTCTTGTTTTCAAGTTCCTGAGTCAAAGTGGTACGTGTTGGCACTACAGGGCAGACTGCAAATCAAATCAATGCGGAATTCGAGTCCAGGCACATCTGAATGGAAGCCCAATCATTCTGATTTGCAAATTGGTCGGTCCATGTGGTCCAAGCATTTTGCAATGCTGCCCCCCATTCATGCGACGACCAACCAATGGACGGCAGGAGATGCTTCTGCTTCCTGATGCACACTTTGGCAGAACCATGGATTGCATTTAAATATTTACATATTACAACCTCAAAACAACATTCGAAAATCTGAAGCTGCTCAGCGACACGTCATGGCCATTGGCGAAGTCGATAATGTGCTGTTGATCGGCAGCGATGGCTCTGTAATCTTCCTTTCTGTGCTTCTGGACTAAAGTGTCCAACCATGCGACGCATTCGATGCCACAGACCTGCACTGACAGCTGATATACTTACAAAAACTAGACAATTGAGTGTCACCTGGACCAATGAGTCAGTTCAGCACAGCGACTTGGAAGAGAGCCATGACCAACGCAATCATGGCACACGTCCTGTGCCATCCCGCCGAACAGCAGATCCTGACAATTGAAGGACCACATAGGAGGGTTATAATTATCCTAGTCCCTGAACCTAAAAAAAACCTCCAAGACCTTCAGCATTCAAAGACTCGAGAAGCCTGAGCAACTTGTCGGGAAAATTGAGGATGAAGTGGAGCGTCTTGAGCGCTGCGGGATGACTATACACCTCGGTCATTAGGGTGAATTCTTATTAAAATTAAAATTAATTATTATACAACTCGATTCATGAAGCAACACCTGTTCGACCAGGCACCTGTTCCATGATATGCTGGTATAGGCCACATTCTCTGCCAAACCTTCCTCCTTGGGCCTCCCTTGGCTTCCATCCATGACTGTCACTGTCACTGCCCTCAATTGTCAATTGAGTGAAACTGAAATGAATGAAAAATGTACAAATGTCATGAAGCTTCGACACGTGCATTTGCACCTGCAAGCGAACCTCCCATTTGTTAGAAAAGTTACTTTCCTTGTCCAACCTCTCCAACAAGTCTGCCATCTGAGGTGATGGACGATTTCCATGGGCGGCAACCCCATAACCAACGATCACCACTCTCTTCGGCCAAACGTAGGTTTTGCCGCCCACCAAAACTGACCTCGAAGTGTTGGAGCAGAAAGCAGCTGTCGAAGAGCTCGGGTTGTCAATAGAGCTCACATCGTCATCAGTAGCATCAATAGCCGGTTCGTGGTCTCCACCGTCCCCAATCGTCCGAGTCGTCTTCTTCTTTTCCTTTGCCCCGCCCCAAGTCACCGGAACTTTTCGTTGAGGCGTCTGCGGCTTTCTTGCTGCCGTAGTTCCCGACATCGAATTGGCTGTATGCTATCCCCAAGCTTTGATTGTGCCTCGAATGAACACGGAATTGTAATGATGAAAGTTTAAGCGCCAAAAAAAAGGGCTGCATCAATCTTTGCCAAAGTGCTCTCTAACGTTCTTGTTACAGGCTGACAGAATCCAGGCTTCTGGTTTCTGGATGCCGTCTCTTCCCCGTTTGAAAGCTCTCCTCAAATGTTGTTGCATTGAAACAATGACATGTCAGGTAGCAAATTATTCTCAATTGGAAATTGTCTGAAATGTACTGCAGGTGTCACAAGATCAACAGCCTTTCTCGGGCAGAGCAAATAGAGCAAGTAGATTGCTTGCTGTGCTTTCCGGAGATCCTGGCCCTGCTCCTCGAGACACAATTCCTCAGGGAGATGCTGGAGGGCCACACTCGACATAGCACAACTTGAGCCAGAACTGCAGCATTAGGTTACAAGGGGCTCACAATCAATCACCAAGCAAGCTGACACACACACACACACACACTCACTGAGCCTTCCGCGCAAATATCACTCACATGCCTTCTGAAACGACTTCACCTGGCAAAATGCAAATTTCATGCCAGCCCTGCCCCCCCCCCGGCTCTGTCAAAACATGCCAGGCAGACCACTTGAGCCAGAACTGCAGCATTAGGTTACAAGGGGCTCACAATCAATCACCAAGCAAGCTGACACACACACACACACACACACACACACTCACTGAGCCTTCCGCGCAAATATCACTCACATGCCTTCTGAAACGACTTCACCTGGCAAAATGCAAATTTCATGCCAGCCCTGCCCCCCCCCCGGCTCTGTCAAAACATGCCAGGCAGACCTTGCCATTGATGCTACCACAATAGTTATACTACCGCAAATCATGCTACCACAATTAGCGCTACCACAATTGTTACTACCACAATTGACAAGTTGATGCTACCAGAACTGATGCTACCAGAATTGATGCCACTGCAAAATCGAATCAACCAAGCCAAGCAATGCCATGCTGACTACCACAGTTGCTGCTACCAGAACTGATGGTATCAGAATTGATGCCACCGCAAAATCGAATCAGATGCCACCGCAACAATCGAAGCAATCAAGCCATGCAATGCCATGCTGACTACCACCATTGACATTGATTGATGCTACCAGAATTGATGCCACTGCAGCATCGAATCAACCAAGCCAAGCAATGCCATGCTGACTACCACAATTGATTGATGCTACCAGAATTGATGCCACTGCAGAATCGAATCAACCAAGCCAAGCAATGCCATGCCGACACAGTAACGGCCTCCCCAGCGTCTTTGCAAACACGAGTGTGCTCTGACAGTCATGCGGACTGGAGACTTCTTTAAATGCCACCCCCATTCGGCCAAGATGGGGTCACCCTGCTGAGTATGCGCCGTCTTTGCCCTATGCGGAGCGCTGAAATCCGATTGCCTTGCATACCGGCCCGCAAGAGGACAGGTCATGCTCGTCATCGAGTGCACCGGAATCGCTGCGCAACGCGCCGGTTACTGAAGACCTGTCAATGAGGCACAGCATAAGATGCCATGCGGGGCCATGCCGGCAAGCAGCAGTGATCGAAGTTAATACTTCGACCGTGGTGTGGGTACGTGGCATAGTATTTATTAATAGTAGCGAGGCCTTCCCTGCAATCTGTGTGCATTTCACCCCGCGGCGGACACACCACCTGGCTGGACAGGCGAGCAGCACACAGAGTAAATCCCCAGCGCCCGGCCAGCGACGCTGTCCCACACGGATCAAGGACCCATTGCTCACGTGGTCCGAGCCCGACTGGAGCGGTCTCTAAGACCACTCTGAGCTTGGGCGTGCAGGATGGGTAGGGCGAGTCGAACCAAGCCAAGCAAGCCAAGCAAGCCAAGCAAGCCAACCAAGCAACCAAGCCAACCAAGCAGTGGCACGTGACAAAGGACCACGTTTCAGCTTCCAACACATCCGGCTTGGACAGAAGCGAACACCATCGCTCAATACATCCGGCTTGGACAAATGCAAAAATGTTTGGCAAAAAAGGGTTTCCTCACGCTGGCTTCCCAGTGTGCTTTAAAATGTTTTGGTCAACGGCCGTGCCCCCGGCACTGAAATTCCTAATAAAATACATAAATAAGCTAATACTACAACAGCTTGAAACCTTAAATCGGTATATTGAACTGCACTATTGAGGAAATTGGTTTTGGCCTTCAAACCCCCCTGATCCAGCCCCCAAGGATCCAACCCTCAAAACGAGTGTGTGGAAATTGCATAGGCGAGTTGCTTGCACTCGACTTGTCGCAAGTCGAAAACCTGTGCAGTCGCTTCTTGTGTGGATCGTGTCTCCATGTTCAGTTCGGTAAAAGGGGCCATCAAAGTTGAAATACTGATTGTCGTCTTGGATAGGCGCCACAAGGCCCCTTGGTGGCGTTGCTTCTACTGGAAAAGGTCCTCTTGTCCTCTCCCAGTCCAAAGTCTGCGTTCCAACAGTCCGGGTGTCAGCAGTTTTGATTGTGCGGCTCGGTGCAAACGATGGTAAGGATGATGATGAGGATGAGCTCGTCTCTCCCACATGTTGTGCAGGGCCAGTGAAAACTCTGTCCACTTCCGCCTCTGCTGCTGCACGTGCCATATCCCTCAGCTTCTTTGCTCTGCGTCCAGGCTTAGGCTTGCAACACAGCCTCCAGAGAAAACTTCCGACTCGCTTCAGAAGCTCCCACACAATCACAGCTACGATACAAGCAATGACAGTGAACAGTAACAGCTCATCCATTCCTGCAACCGTCACTGTAGCCATAGCATCTGTAGCAGCCGCCGCCTTTGCACCAGGAATGCTCTGAAGAGCCTTTGTCATACAAAGAGCTGTCAACATTTGAAGAAGCAATGCTGTTTCAGCCTCAGCCGGAAGTCCTTCAAACCTCCACATCTTGAGGAGAGCCCAAAGTCTCATCTTCGAATGCATCTTTGTAGATAAATCAGCCCTCTGAAAAATCCCTTCAATGTGCTCCACGTCCAGCAACTTCTCCTGAATGCGTTCCAAGAGATAGGCTGATCTGACCTTCAGATGGCGTGTACGCCAGCTCCCTGGCCCACCACCCAACATCGACACAGCAGACGCATTGTCAACTCGCAACAGTCGGTGTATCCTGCACTCAGCTAGTTCATCCAGTAACGCACCAACATTTTCGATCAAAACAGCCGCTTCCGTCGCTTGATAGAGCTCCGACTCCATGATCGAAAGCATTGTAAAGCTTTGACGGCCACAACGCCATGCTACAGGAGAGTCCTCAACCACAACAAGCGAAGCGCCATAGGACCGACTTCCGAAGGGTGCAAAACTAGCGTCCGAGTACCCAACTATCTTAAGGTCTTTAAACCCAACCACCTTGTTGCTTGCTGGTGTGTTGTGATGGGTAGTGTCTGTTGGGACTCTGTTGCTGCTTGCTGGAATGCTGCCGCTGCTTGTTGGTGTGCTGTCACTGCCTGCTGGAACGCTGCCGCTGCTATCTCCACCAAATGGTTGTCCCAAGATCATCTTCATCTGGACCGTCTTGTGCAAGTAGGACAACACCCGCAAGGCTATCTTGGAAACCCGTCTTGGATGCTTGCTCACCCAGGTAGACATGTAGCTGACGACGTGATGAATATCCGGTCTTGAACGCATCGCCAACCAAAGCTGCTCTCCAATCAACCGTTGGCCATATCGGAGATCGGCCTCCGAAAAATCCTCTGGCTCCTGGTCCACGTCATCGGTGACCCACTCCTTCGGACACGGAAGAAGGGTCTGGGGAGCTTGTAGTAGATCATGTGCTCGTAATAGGTCCATAATGTAGCCGCTTTGCGCAACCTCATACTCCCCGGACTCCCTCTGAAAGATCTCCATTCCAAGGTATCGAACACCTCCTGGATCCGAAGCCCACTGCAGGTCCGAACACGGCCATTCAGCCTTAACCCAGCCATGCATTGCCAACACTAGCCGCTGAGGTCCAATGTAGAACAAGTCGTCGACGTAGGTCACCAAAAGACCGACGAGCGTTCCCCTGCCCTCCTCCTCACCGGAGTCGTTGATTGCAAACCACAACTCTGAGTCCGACTTAGACTGTCTGAGCGTGACAAAACCTCCATTGTAAGGGATCTTCAAAGTTCGCAACCGGTCGTTCCGATGTGAGGACCAAATAGCTGGGGATTCCCTCAGTCCATAAAGTGGGCGTAGAACCAACCAAGCCTCTGAATCATCTGCGTAGTCAAGGTCGCACAGCAATCTCGGTGGGACCACAGCATACATTGGCATCCCTTCAGGCCACAAGGCCTGGAGGAAAGCCGTCGTAATATCAGTGGTAGCGCCCCTCCATCCAAAACCCGAAGTCGAGGATAACAATGCCCTCAGCGTTTCAGCACTGATGCCACCAGCATACAACGACCCCTGAGCTTCTGCAGCTGCAGAGAACCATTCTGTATTTTCGCTTGTAGCCACCTCCCTTTTCGCTCGGAGGCTTGATTGTAAATACTCCCTTGCTCGGAACCAGTCGTAGCTGTCCAAGTGCTTCCAAACGTTTGGCCTCAGACTTCTTGATCTTTCGAAGGGTGCCGGTATCAAACAAGTTCTTGACCTCCTTCTGGATTGCTTCTTTCCACCGTTCCACAACTGGACGAACTTGTTGAAGAGGCACTGTGTGGGTCACCTGCAGGTCTCCGTCAAGCTCCGCAAGTAGCTGCTCGTAGTCCTGGTCCGGCTCACTGATTGGCCGCCTTTAACACCAGCATCTCATCACGGACCCTTTGCTGTTGTCGTATTCGGTCCGTCAAGGCCTCCAACATCTCCATGATCTCGCCATGAACCTGTTTGGTGCTCTCGACACAGCTGTGTTGGGTCTGATGTAGATCCTGTAGCCTCTCTTCCTCCTCCTCAACGAGGTCTTGTAGAAGTGAAGAACGATCAACCATTTCTTCCACCATCTGTTGCTGCAGCTCATTGACCTTCAGTAGTGACTGCTCCATAACACCGGCCTCCTCCTCAAACACTTCGTCCTTCACAAAGGTCTCCAGGGCTCCGTCCTCATCAAGGATGTACTCCTGCTTCTTCAGCTTCACATTCTCCTCGCGCGGTTGGGGTTCCTGGTCTTCTGGAAGATCAAAACCCATTTCCCAAAGTTCCCGCCGATCTTCTTCAGAAAGGTTGTTGGTGCGTGGCGTGTATGTCATCATCACAACGCGGTCCCCTTGGAAAGGTTGAGTCTCATGCCACTTCCTCGGACTGAAGGAAAGCGGTACTCCAGGTCGTAGCTCATAAGTTTTCCCTTGAACCCATCTTCCAGGAGTCACTTGCCTCCATTGATCACCAGGAGGTCCTTCAACCCACAAGCCACCTCCCTGAAAAGCGCTCAAGGCCATCACGGTGTTCTTGGTTGAAGCATCATTGTGTGAATCTCGATGAGCTCTGAGTTGAGCCCCACGAGTCACTGCCACCACACCAAAACGTTCCTCACCCATCAGCTCCTTCGCCACCCTTGTAAAGAACGCTGTAGTCGTAGTCGCAGGCATCCTCCTTGTGGTTTGTCTAAGTCCAGAGACACCGCCATGCGTAAACATTCCAGTCGTCCACGAGGTCGAGGTTGTTTGGGATTTCCGTATCACAGCCTTAGAGCCTTGCAAACGCGTGCGCTCCAGAAGGGTGTAGACATCCAAAACGGCTTGCTCATCATACCGCTCATCCACATCGTACTCTGCAGCCAGCTCCTCAATCTGTTGCTCCAGCACAGTCAGCGGCTTCATCACCTTCAAGCTGGTTTTCTCATATAAACGACGAGGTGGGTCACGAACTGCACCTGGAACTGCACCACCACCACCACGTGTAGAAGATTCGGGTACTACGACTTCCCCTAAAGGACCCAGCAGTGGACTTCCCGGTTCTGAATCTCTCGTTGGTGGGTGTACTTCAACTCCTTCGGGTACTACGACTTCCCCGGTTGGACCCAGCGATGGACTTCCCGGCTCTGAATCTCTTGTTGGTGGGTGTACTTCACCTTCTTCAACTGTAGTAAGCCTGACCTTCGTCCTCGCACGCTTCACCGGCACAGGCAGAACTGCCTCAGCGGTCGCCGGACCCACTAACTCATCAACATCCACCACGTTCGTCTTCATGTGCATTGTTGTGAGATAGCGTCCATTCACGTCCCGCACCACGTATCCGCCCCGTAGCTCAGTAGCCGGCCCAACGAACACGCCACTGTCCCACTTGTTGTTGAGATCGAACTTTCCACCTTGTCCAAACACCTTGGCCTTGATCGAGACTGCAGCCCCAAACGGAACCACATTGCCAGAGCGACCCAGAGCGCACTCCCTCTGAGCCCATGCTGCATGCCCCATTGCAAGCGGCCAACACGATCTTGGCAGCCCGGATGACTGTAGTAGGGTCCTAGCCCTCCGCTTCAAGGTCTTGACAACTTGCTCGGCACGTCCATTTGACTGAGGAGTCTGGGCTTCTCCTGTGGTAGGGTATATATCCCTTTCAAGTAGCCACCTTCTGATTCCCTGGCCGCGCAACTCTCTTGCACGATCACTGTGCACACGCTGAACTGGCAGTCCTTCAGCTCGTAGTTGAAGGTAGAGAAGGCGGATAGCTGCTTCCACTTCCGAGGCCACACGAGTCTTCAAAGGCAACATGAAGTGCAAGTTCTGGTAGGTCAGAGTGTCCTTGATCTCCTTGAAGAGTTTCTGGTACTCATCATTAGCAGCATCCATCTCCTTCTGATTCTCCCGAGTGTTCTCCGGGAGCTCATCCCTTGCCTCCTTGAAAAGATCGTCCTCTTCATCAAGCGAGATATGTCCAACTCCACCTTCTGGTTCAGCTGGTACTCCATCGTCATGCCCTCCTGGGGGTTCTTCTGGTGGTAGTTCATCAGGAATTTTGTAGTCCTTGAAACCAAAGGTGGATGGCATAGTGTAGTTGCCGATGAGAGCGTAACGGTAGCCCTTTGCATCACCTGACTCACCCTTGACTCTGAAGGGACCCGCGAGGTCAAGCGAGAGAGTGTAGCAGCTAGGTGCAATGACACGTCGGTGGCTACGGCCTGTAGCCGCGGTCTCCACACAAGTCCTGCAGTGTCTATTGTACGGGAGATGGCCGTTGGCCACGTGGCGACGCCACTTCCGAAGTTCTTCTGCACTCATAGCTCCTGAACCAACCGCAGCACTCAACAGCATCAGTGGTTCCGGCCTCTTCCTCCAAGCAAGGATGCCCTTCACAACCATCCGATGAAAACCAACAGACCATCCCGCTACCCTGTTCGTGGCATCCACTCCAGGACCCCAGCCTTCATCATCTCCAGAAAGCTCCAAGTTCGTAGCCGTACAATAAGACTCTGAGGATCCAGCTGGAGACGCCTGGCTCACAGGAATCTGGTACTCACGTTGAAAACCCTGCCACATTGGCGTCTTCCACCAGCCAGACTCCGGGTCCATGGTCATCAAGATGTAGGGGCTTACCTGACGATGAAGTCGAGCTCCTTCCTTTGCAACCATCCACAACAGCAGTTGCCGAGCACATAGTTCAGCACAGTAGTTCGATGGAGGTGAGCCAACAAGACCTTCCAGCTGCCCTCTACAAGCAGCCCACATCAAGGCCCGATACATCGGACTGTCTCCCCTCATTGAGAAACCCTTGCTCCGATGGATGTTGACATTGACGTACACGACCTTGTCAGTCTCCAACACCTTGAAGTCCTCCGAGTCTTCACCTTCTCGTTCGTACAGCTTAACCGCCCACCTCTTCAACAGCAATGACTTCCTCTGGGACCTTCTCATTGGCAAAGACTTGAGATACTCCTTGCCCGCGCTCTCACTCAAGTCAACCTCAATGGACAACATAGCCCTCAACTCACCACCCATAGAACTCAAAGGAGAGCCCGGAGACTGCAAAGCCTGCAACATAGACGTTCTGCTCCCGGTCTGGGTGTACATCATGAAGAGCTCGTCCCAGTCCTTCACCTCGGTGAGCGCAATGGTTCCCAGGAAGGTTTCCGCCGTGCTTTCCCGAAGTTCCTGTAGCTTCCGTTGCTCCAACTGGTTGATCAACGACAGGGCCTGGGTCTCCCCAAGCAATGGACAGTTGCCCTTCACGATTGTTTTGAGGGTTCCAAACTGAGGGTGAACGATTTTCAAGCCTCCACGTTTGGTCCAAGTCAAATCACAGCCCAGCTGCTGGACCAGGGCTCCCATTGGCAAGATAGTGGCTGAGTCATCCGCCTCGACATCCTTGGTAGTCGGCATCAACGTTCCAGCCTGATTTTGCTGGAGAGTGATTGTTCTGCCTCCTGCCAGTTCCACTCGAACTGGAACTTGTGGTAGTGGTTCATGAAGTTGCCTTTCGCGGTAGGGGTGTGATGCTCCAGAGTCCAAGAGCGCCAAACGCTCCTCTTCATTGAAACCCAAATCAGCCATTTGTGATGCCAAACCCCGTAGGCTTGTGTCGGTTGAGACTTGTAGGGCCTGGAGCTTTGTCAGCTGGTTCAGCATTGCATTGGCCTGCTGTAGAAGCGCTGTGATCTCCTGCGCCTTGTCATAGGAGTGTGGGCCCTCCAAGGTTGCTGTACCTCCTGTGGTCGTACCGGAGGCTGGTCCCGTCGAGGGCGCTGCTGTAGTCATCGTAGGCATCATAGTGGTAGCGGAGCTTAAAGACTCGAGGATTGCTTGCTGGTGCTGGACAGCGGCCTGGTTGAGCATAGGTGTTGCCGTAGAAGCCTGTGTAGTGGATGCCGTGGTGCTCGGGGCTGCATTCGGAGTTCTCGATGCTGCACCGCCCCTTGTAGGTGAGGAGGCACCAGCCTTCACAGGACAGTCCTTCTGCATGTGTTGCACTGAACCACAACACCAGCACTTCATCTTCTTGGCCTCCTTGCTCGCAAAGGTATGGTCGAACTTGCAAGCCTGACCCTTGGTACAGCCAGCATCCGAAGCAAAGAAACGACACGGAACCTTGCCACCATTTCCCGGCTGCTGATTCCCTGCTCCTCCTCGCCTCGTAGGTGAAGAGGTCTCACCAGTTCCAGCTCCAACTCCATTGGCGTTCATTCCCTTGAGCTTGGTTGCATCCGCTCCAGCCGAAGTCGTAGTAGTTGATGTCCTCGCCGGCGTTGCCTGTTGGAGTTCCGCCAGGATGTGGTCGTAGTATTTCAAGACGCCGTCAAGGGTCGGCCGGTACTGCAGCTGCAACTGGCTCTTTGAAAGAGCCAAGCGGAACTTGATGTCGCTGTGGGCCTCCACCGCCTTACTTGCCAAAGTCTCTACCCCTCTCAACAGCAACGAAGAGTCCGGTATGGACACTCGCATCTCCTCAGCTCTCTTGAGCTGACGTCTCCACTTTCTCAGGGATGCCACGGTGTCCACAATACTCGTCGTGCCCAGTTGGCCCTCCAGCTGTCGAAGAATGGAGGCGCGTTCCGCCGCACGTCCCGGGGCATACAAGATATGCAAGCGGTAGAGCAAGCCCGGGACCGTATTGATACGATGCGTCACTGCATCGTCCTTCGCCTGCTTGCGCAAAGTCGCCAGCATCAAAGTCAGGACTCTGCGTTCAAGCCGACTCCATCGCTCTTCACATAGTTCCTCAGTTCTCACAGGTTCCAATGACAAACGAGTCAATGGATCACTGACCTGGTACAGGTCATAGGCTTCCCTCGCCGCCTTCAGACACAACGAAAACCACAACGAAGCCTTGTCGCTCAAGCCGCCCACCGCCTGCTCCACTTCGTAGACCCAGTCCGCAAAGAGAACTGCGCTGTCCGCCGTGAGCTCTGGCATCTCAGGCAACTGAATACTGCTGCCCTTCAACTCTGTGTCTCGGGCCTCGCCACGCCCGATGTAGGCCTGTTGCAACTGCCTCATTCCCTCCACCAGCAGGTGAAGCGGTTCCACTGCTCCATCTCCTTGACTCCCAGCTGCTTGCCCATGTTCGCCACCAGGTCGCGCTTCTTGTGGAACGACTCTGGGCCCCGTGGTTTGGGCAGCTCCTGACCAAGGACCCGGCGGTCCCTTCAGTCCATCATCACGAAGTTCACCTCCGTCTGTTCCTGAAGGATAACCCCGGGGTTCTCTGGACCTTCCTCGAAAGCGTCCTGGATCCCCTGAAGAAGCCTGAGGGCCCGCTTGCGCTCCAGGAGGATCTTGTCGTTGTCCTCCTGGCTCTGCTGTAGCTGGCCTGCTTCCTCCCCCAGAACCATACACTCGCATCACTGAATTCGCTTCAACCAGTGCCCTTTCAAGCTCTTCATTACGCTGTTTGAGTGCACGTACTTCTTGGTCCCTTCCCTGCATGGCCATATGAACCTGCCGTCGAACCTCCTCCAAGACCATATCTTGATTCAAGCTGCTGGCCGACCCATCCTCATCCGGTCGTCGACGTTGAGGACTGATGAGGCTGTCTTGGGCTTGGTGAGCTTGCAAGGCCGGTTGCATCTCATTGGGGAACAGCTGAGGTTGAGAAGGGTTTGTTGTTCTCGTAGAGACAGCGCTTGTAGACAAGTTTCTTCCAGCATTCATAACCGGCTCCACAACTCGCCTCTGAAACACTTCCCCGAAAGACAACCACACATTTCTCGAACTTCCTTCAACAGTAGCTTGACTCCTCGCTGAAGCAAAGCTTTCCACCGTAGGAACCGAAGCTTCATGACGTAGCTGTTCACCTTCACCTCCGTCTTCTTGCCCTGGTACTGGAGGACCGTAGATCAACCTGGGACGTCTCGGGGCCTCAAGCCTTAAAGCTGGCATGGATACCGTAGGTGCCGTAGAGGATTCCTGAGATTGAACCTGCGGGATTGATGTAGAAGAGAAGATAGTCGATCCCTGTTGCAAATCACGTCCAGGTACAGGAGGTTGCAACTGTGGTGTTGCTTGTCGTGACGCTGACTGCGGCTGCTGAGGTACTTGTTGCGATGCTGACTGCGGCTGCTGCGGTACTTGTTGCGGTGCTAACTGCGGCTGCTGCGGTGCTTGTTGCAGTGTTGATGTCTGCAGCTGCTGGGGTGCTTGTTGTTGTGCACCAACCCTTACCTCAGGACGACTAGCTAAGTCCCCAACGGAAGCCTGGCCCAAGAACTCTCTCGACGTCGCCCCAGGTCCGGTGTTGCTCGCAACCTGCCCTGTCTCCGGTGTCGCGCTGCGGCCTGCTCCCTGAACGGTTATTCCAGTCACAGAAACATCCTGCTGCTCCCGCAAAGGCTCTGCACCACCAACATCCAAACTATCAGCAACTCTTGCAGTCTGACGACTAGTCTCATGTCCAGTGCCATTGAGCACAACCCTCGCATCACGGCCAGCCTCGAAACCCGCCTGACGAGCGTAGTCGGGGCCTGAAGTCTCACCTTCCACAGTAGCAGGTCCTGAGATTGGGCGCTCATAACCTGAAGATCTTTAGATCCAGCGGAGTGCCTTGGGGTTCTTCTCGGTATCGTTCCAGTTTTATCGGAACATGGCTCAGCGCTCAAGGGCTTATTTTCCGCGCACAACACAGTTCGAAAGCTGCTCAACGTTTTGCTACTTATGCAAAGCCGTTAAGGCTGTGAAGTTCTCTAAGCACTTGCAAGCTTAGGTGTTGCCTTCACGATCGAAAAGCTTCCAAGCATCAAAGGGCTAGCGAAGCATGACAAGTTGACATGAGGATTCCACAAAATGCTATAGCAGCAAAGCTGCTTTCCATGCCCATGCAGTGATACTTATTATCAGAACAGCATGCTCGCTTTCCTCAGTCACCTGCCAATGGTTTGGGCGCGCATAGGCCTGCAAATCTGATGCAAGGATGTGAAATGCATAAAAAAAAAAGCTTCACCGAACGATGTCTGCATGGTTCGGGGAGTCCGGGCTCGGGACCTACGTTAGCAGCAAAAATACACTGGTATATATATATATATATGTATATAAATATATATATATATATATATATATATACATGGAAAGTCTATACATAGCTTTTTCTGAAATGTGCTGCCTAAACAACCAAAAATGCTGCCAAAATCTAGAAAAGTTGCCTTCCCAAACAGCAAAAACCCACTAGTGTAACATGTTAATAAAGTCAGCTAAGTGGTTAGTTAAAAGGGTTAACTCTCATAACATGTTAACTAACCCCCCGAGCGGCTAAGCACCGCGCACCCGCACGTTATGCCACCGCGCACCCACGCGCTCACCGCGCGCCTGCACCGCGCGCCGCGCGCCTGGCGCCGCACACATCCGCACACCCGCGCGCGCGCCGCACATCGTCTGTCCGCACGTCCGCGCGTTGCGTCCGCGCGCCCGCGCGTTTCGCCACGTACGATACGTAGCCCTGTTTGTTGAAATCTCGTTTACAGGGGCCTGAACTTAGATAACTTATCATCCTTCGTTCTTGAATTCTTCAGTCTTCTTCAGAGCCCAAAACTTCTTCTTGACGGTCAGAACAGCCTTGTCTGCCTCGGTGTGCGATGCTTGGGAGTAAAGCGAAAAAACACGTCCGGGAAGATGCCTTCTCGAGATTTCTCGAGCGTGAGCTCTTCAAAGCCGGGTTGAGTTGGCTGCTGCATGCTGCTGCGCAACTGGCCAAATCGGATATGAGACGCGCCGCGAAACGTGCACAGCCAAACATGCAACTGCCATGCCTCGTCCCAAATCTTCAAGAAAGCGATCTGCTGCGTCCTGCGACAGAATGGCATTGCCTTCTTGCGAAACGCGACAAGCCGCGGCAGACCTGGCAGCATGTTAGTCCGCGGCCTTCTTCTTCTCTCTGTTGCTTGTGCTCTGCCGGCTTCACTTTCCGAAGCGGCCGGCCATCGAAGTCGGAGGCGCGTCACGGGGCTTATGCCCAAAGGTTTGAGAGAGCGGCCGTGGCCATGAGGCAGCAGCCAGGCAAATCTCTTGCCCACCACTCCTTATCACCCGAGCCGCTTAGCTCAGTATCCGCTGCTTCGATTGCACCAGCGTGAGCTGAACTAATGGAAGCGGTCATCCGAGACGGAGGCCGCACGGCCGCAGTCCTCCCCATGGTCGTCCTTCGTATGCCGATGGGGGTGTCGGAGTCTTCCCAACAGAACGTGGACACTCGGAGTCCTTTATCATCAAGGCGGCCTGCCCTTTGTAGATCATGAAGAAGGTGTCACCAATGTCTCCTGGTAAAGATCACGGAGAAGCCAAGGAGCCGAAAGTCAAATCGAGCAGCGCCTTGGATCACAAGCCTTGAGCTCTTTGGCCAGGTCTTCTCTTCTAGAAGCTGCACAACCTGCACTCCGAAGCAGCACAGAGGGGACATGACACGACACCAATCCATGATGTGAGAATCTCATTTTCTTGAAGGTCCAGGAGCAGTTCGCGAAGCCCTCGTTGGTCGGTTGGTGCCTGCAGTGCCTGCAGCAGCTTTCTTCACAAGGCATCCGAGGCGGAAGACCAGCGGTGCTTCTGGGCTTGTCTGCACAGGCACCAGCAGCCTGGCAAACCGGTGCAAACTTGGTCTCGCCGGTGACGCCATCTCGGGCCATCTCTATCATGGGACCGAAAATGTAAAGGTTGCGAGTGGCAAGTCTCATTCAATTCCCGCTGCCGAAGCGGCTTAAATTATGTTGAAGTACTGCTCAATCTAATGTTGACCACGGCCATTAGGTCATCATTAACAGAACGGACTGGAACGGACACTCCCTCGCCTCATAGCTCGGCTTTGATGATTGCTGACATCTCCGAAGGTCGCTGCTGGCACCGAAGCAATGCTCAAGAAAAACGGCTGCTGACGAAGAACGACGAGAAGCAGACTGAGGACACGCAATCCGAACAAACGGCAACGAGACTGGCTCTTGATATTTGCAATTCGACGATTCGGTTGGTTTCTCGAGTGAAACCCGAGACTTTGGGCCAAGTCTTTGCCTGCCCATCCAGCGTTGCCTGGACGGCCTAGCACTGTTCAGGCGGTCAACTGCTTAAAAGCCCAGAGATCTGCTGCCATACATAACTGTTCGAGCGTGATAAGACTGGCTCCTCGCCATTTGAAACCTCACGGAAATCCCCATCAAATCCGCCCCATCTTATGGGGATCTGCTCAGTCACCCTTCTCCCGCAGCGTGGGCACATACCAGCCCAGACGTTGAGTTCCTGGTCCCCACACTCTGAACAGTAGATCGCGCAGCCGCACGGCGAATACCAGGTGCTTGCGCCTCGCACTCGACACTTCGCACACGCTCCAAGCCGGGGTTTCTTCCATCCCTCTTCCACGGCTGTGCGTTCTTCTCCAACCAATCTTTTTTGCTTTTGGACCTGATGCTGGTCGCCTGTCGTTTTTGCTTCTGCTGCGGCGACTTCCTCGTCAACGGTTGTCTCCAGTTGTTCGGCGGTTGTCTCCAGTTGTTCGGCCTGATTCAACACAGATCAGACAAGCGAACCACGTGAAACCGACCGAGTGGATGGCCTTGGCTTGCAGCTGCTGCATGCAGTTGTCCTGATCGGAATGGCAGCATTGACAACAGAACCGACAAGACAACCGCAGTTCGACGAATAAAAAGGCCTCATCTCGATCTGTGCGCAGAGGTTTCAGCAGCTCCTTTGCCACACACACACACACACATGCCACGTCAAGCCGGGAAGCCTAACGGGCCGAGCAGAATAGCGATATGCAATTATTAAAACCACGACTGTGCTGGCAAACTGCGAAGTCACGAAACATGCAAACAATCGCACTGTGTGGCTCAATGCCTTGAATTCGTGTTGTGCCTTTTGCATCGGTGTTCGAAGTTGCATCTCTTCAATGAGTTTTTGTGAGGATGTAATTAAAGTGCAAGCGGGCTTTCGCATTCTGTTGCGAATGTACGCGAGCAATCGTGTTTTCTTTGTTGTTTGGAAACACCGAGCAGGAAATTGCTGGCGGTCTACAAAGTTCCCCAAGCAAATTTTGAGGTATGGAACTCGGATGAAACAATTTTCCATACTTGCCTTTACGTCCTTTACGGTTTCCAACGCAAAATGAACGTAATTGAAATCTAACCTGAACAAAGTCAGTATTGTCGCCGCTTTCCCTTGCCTCCATGGCACAACCAGAACGAAAACGTACCAAAACTGTCCAGAAACCGAAGCGACAAGCATTCTTCAAGATGTGCCCTTAACACATCCAAACCATTCCACAGCCCACTGCTCCTTTTAAAATCCCCAAAGCTTATGTAGATTGTTCTCGCGAATGTCCACCGCACACACTCACCACGCTGCCCTCGCACAGACCCTATTTCCTGGGCGATCGCTCCAATTGTGGCCAGTCTGGCCTCGCGCGAACCAGTGCCACCGCTGCCATGTATCGAGAGTCTGTGACATGGAGAGCCTCTTCAGCGGCTTGGCATAGTAGGACTTGGACAGCCTGTCTCTACGCAATCGCTCCTCGGACAATGTCCACGCATCAGACAAAACCAGCTGTGGCCTTTCCTTGCCTCCCCGTGAATCCGGCCTTAGCCAGCATGTTGGGAAAGTGAGGCTCGGAGAAATTCAGCACGCGTGCTCCCTACAAGATGTTCAGTGCCCAACAATTTGGCATTCACCGGATTCTCGCATGTACTGCAGGGTACTAGTAGCCTCATGCAAAACAAGTAAGTCTCTTGTAGCAGCTGATTTAACAAAAGCTCTTCTGGCACAGTCCCATGTCATAACCGGGCCTCCATTATCCTCTGGGCATTCCAATCCGGAGACTTGCTGAGCGACCTGTGCGCAATTCCGAGAATGGAAGCCTCCACCCAGAAGATGTTCCCTAGTGAATTCGAAAGTTCTGTTTGCGAATTGTTTTGTGGTTTTCCTTGTTTTGCCGTGGATGTCTAGAATGTGCAACGATGGATAATCGTGACGATGTTCTGAGGGTCCGAGTTTCAGCTGACTAATGTAATATGTGTCCGTGCATCGCTCGCTCCTTTCACGCGTGCATAGCACCCGCAGGATGCAATGCTTGGACCGGTCTGTCTTCGACGACTGAGCGCTTCAGCCATATAGATATCGGAATACACTGGACGCAGGCACTGAATGCAACACCCGTCCAAGTGCTAATAGATGCTAATAGGCCATGGCAGAACTGTCTACCTTTTCCTGTTCCAGCACTGTAGCGGCAGTCAACGCACAAACGCTATAGGATACACGCATGATAATCTACACCCTCTTCGCCAAAGGCGTCAGCCGAGGCGGACACATGCACGTCAGCTTCGATACAATGGTAGACGAACTATTTTGCGCGCAGAAGGATAGAGGCTCAGGCGCACAGGCAAATATAATTACGTTACACCAGCGAAGACCCCAAACAGAATGAATCGCACATGGAAGAAGCAGCCAACCATGCCACAACGTGGATCGTGCCCTCTCTGCGACAAGCTTTCATCCGACTCACGTGCTGCCAAAGGGAAGCTGAAAACCCCATCGCTTCTAACGCCCATCGGAGCCCAGTGTGCCCCAGCCCCTTTGCCGACACAGGAACGCAGCAACAGCAAGAAAACCTGAACCGGCCCAGCCCTGTCACCGGAAGCAATCATGAAGGGCCTATAATGGGAGCCCAGCCCCATCGCCGCGGCCCATGAAGGGAGCCCAATGGGAGCCCAGCCCCAGCGCCGCGGCCCGCAGCTCAGAAAGGAAACATGAAGGGAGCCCACCCATCCAACAAAGGAAACATGAAGGGAGCCCAATGAGAGCCCAGCCCCATCGCCGCGGCCCACCCATCCAACCCAGGAGCCCAGAAAGGAAACATGAAGGGAACCCAGCCGCATCGCCGCGGCCCAGAACCGCAGAAACGAAACATGGAGGAGGCCACGGAACACCCATCACCACCCATGAGATTACACCAGCGAACACCCCAAACAGAATGCATCGAATCATGCCGGTTCAAGTTGGAACGAGCCCAGACAGAAAAACGAACGGAGCCCAATGATGGGAGCCCAGCCTCTTTGCCGTGGCCCACGCATCAAACCCAAAAGGAAACATGAAGGGAGCGCAGTGGAGCCTACCCCGTCGCCGAGGCCCACCCATCCGACCCGAGCCCAGAAAGGAAACATGAAGGGAACGAGTGCCAAGTTGCGAATTTGTCACCCCTTGACGTTCCGACTTGGTGAATAAAAGCGAGTGCGAGTGAGTGCAACTTTCCTATATGATTTCAATAGAGAAGCTGGGCGCTGCTTCCGGGCAAATTGAAAAATGTCAGTGGTGCCGGCTCTTTTCTTTCGCATCCAAGCAAGCCAGACAGTCTCATCAAACGCTCAGTGCTGCGTACCTGGCGAATGCATGCTCGTTATCACTCACCTTTGAGCCCTGGTGTGACATGTGCACATGTGATCTGAACTGAATCAATGGAGGCGTCTGCAGTCGAGGGCCACGTTTTTTCAATCCGCAATCTGGTTTCTGAGTTGCGACTGTGTCGCAATCCGCATTGGGTTGCTACGACTGTGGCACCTTTCCAAAACGAGTTCGAATGCCTCTTGGCCAAGACGAAGACGAGCAATGCTAGTGACAGTGAGGTATCAATAATGTGTATAATGGTGGTGCCGGTGGTAGTAACAGAAGTTGTCGTAGTAGTCCTGCTACTGGTACTATTCATGTTGTTGCTGCTGCTGTTGCGGTTGTTGCGCCTGCTGGTGTTTCTGTTGTCGGCGTTGTTGTTGTCTGTTGTTGTTGGTGGTGGTGGCGGTGGTGTTACTCTCTCTCTCTCTGTCCTTCTCCTTCTCTCGCTCTCTCTCTCTCTCTCTCTCTCTCTCTCTCTCTCTCTCTCTCTCTCTCTCTCTCTCTCTCTCTCTCTCTCTCTCTCTCTCTCTCTCTCACTCTATGTGAAAACTCAGCCCTGTATCTCGCTCTGTCTCTGTGTCTCGCAAAAGGGCATAAGGGGCGAGCTGAGCCCCCTTGCCGTATGGGCCCCCCATTGTTACCGGGTAGTAACGGCGGGTGAAAGTGACGATTGATTTCTCTCTTTTTTTCTCTTTCTCTCTGTCTCTCTCTCTCTCTCTCTCTCTCTCTCTCTCTCTCTCTCTCTCGCTCTATCTCCATTTCGTCTCTTTCCCCTCTGCTAACTACCCTCTTTCTGTCTCATCTCACTCTCACTCTCACTCTCACTCTCACTCTCACTCTCACTCTCACTCTCACTCTCACTCTCACTCTCACTCTCACTCTCACTCTCACTCTCACTCTCTCTCTCTCTCTCCCTCTCTCTCTCTTTTTCTCTCTCTCTCTCTCTCTCTCTCTCTCTCTCTCTCTCTCTCTCTCTCTCTCTCTCTCTCTCTCTCTCTCTCTCTCTCTCTCTCTCTCTCTTCCTTCCTCTGGGCTTGAAGGGCTGGTTAGGCCCCTCGGCCACATGGGCCCCCGTATGTTATGGGGCTTTGTGGAGGGACGTGACAAGACAGTGAGTCCCCCTGACAGGCAAAGTAGTTATATATTGGACTCTTAAAGGGCAGGGTTTCTCAACTGTTTTGTTTGACACATGCATTGAATTTGCAGTACATGTCCCCCAGTTAAATGTATGACATCCAAGGTGATAGAGCATTTCGGGTAAACAGCAAGTCAGTACAAGATACAACCAAGATATCATGGGAGGACGTTGACCGCTCCACGGTCACAAGGCGAAACTACTTCAGGTTAGGTGTCACATGTCCCCCACAGCTGTTTCATCTCTCTCTCTCTCTCTCTCTCTCTCTCTCTCGCTCTATCTCCATTTCGTCTCTTTCCCCTCTACTAACTACCCTCTTTCTATCTCATCTCACTCTCACTCTCACTCTCACTCTCACTCTCACTCTCACTCTCACTCTCACTCTCACTCTCACTCTCACTCTCACTCTCACTCTCACTCTCACTCTCACTCTCACTCTCACTCTCACTCTCACTCTCACTCCCACTCTCACTCTCACTCTCACTCTCACTCTCACTCTCACTCTCACTCTCACTCTCACTCTCACTCTCACTCTCACTCTCACTCTCACTC